GGATTTCAACGGTTAACGTAGACAATTCACTTAATAGACCAGAGGATGCCCAGACGAACAGCTCAGGAGAAGGCGAAGTGGTGACAACAAGTAAAACAGCCTGATTTAAGGACCACTGCAAAAAAGCTTTTCAGCGACATTTTTGAGTAAATTACGTATTGAGATCCACATACAACTCGTTGTACTAGGATTACATTTCACATTTCGTAAGAAATATCAACAGACGACAGCTTGTATGAAAATTGAATGTTTTACATAAGGTTCATCCGGTTTTTAAGTAAACTCATGAGTCTTACCCGAGTCCCAAACAGGGAGTTTTCAGAAAGGGTCATTGGACCAGATCGTGATAGCAGTACCTATTGGATGTGAACGGCTAAGTTTCCGTAGTTTTTAATATTGCATACAAGGTCAGCGAGAAGTCTGGACAAGTCCTCGCCGGTTCTGCACTTGTGAGGGTCTAGTTCACTATTTCCCATCAAGATTATTCGTTCTCGAGCACCAATTTGTCCGAATTTCGTGCCGAATCCTCACATGAACGAGCGATTCAGTTGAGTTCTAGCTGAAGCTGCCCTCAACCTTATCAAAGCCATTAGACAGCCTCTGAGCCAGCATGACTACCAAGTAGCACTCCAAGCGACCAACATGCGAGGAGAAACCTGTTCCGCTTAGAAGATCCTAACTTACTGACAGAGCAAGAATACCACACGGATAAAGGACACTAGCAGCATACCATGACGCAGCAATCGCTGTTCAAGCACTGCTGGCTGCCTATTATGTGAACTTCAGTCAGCCTGTATGCGCAGACTGCACGCGTGGGCTCCGTACGAGCCACACGCTGAATGCCGCTCACCACTATTATCCTGTCAGTTCATTTTATCACCGAAAACTGACACTACCCGGATGTTACTTGGCCTTACCACCACAGCAATGATGTTGAAAAAAGCAAAGAGCAGTTAAGTTAAATCATGTGCTTGTCTAATTTTGCAGTGGTGTTTGTCAGAATTCGTTGGATCACATGCTTACCATGTATCTTCAATTAGGTGGATTGTTCCTGCATCCAAATTCATTCGAATGACTACAGCTTGGGTGGGTGGAAATAGCTGCAACCCATTCTAGACAAATCTCATTCCTGCAGTCCCTTTTGGTAACTTGGTCTGGACACCTACGAGGCGGAAAGTTTTGACAGGAATTCCAGTATTCCGGCACGGATGTCGACTTATTTAGCTAAATAGTGGCCGTTGTAGTTATAATTTTGGGATAGCATCCATAACTGATCTGAACGCCATGACTTATAGAAGTCAATGGAACGGAAGATGATTTTGATTAGCACATCACCTACATGGTGAGTGTAGAGTATCGCAAACATACGGTGCCTACCTGATAAGCCCTAAGGAACACAATTGGTTGCGCGCTGTGGAAGAATTTTCCACGAATTTCGTGAGTAGTTTACTTAATGAAAAACCACTGGGCTGTGCATTCGAACGAAGTATATGACATTATAAGATATTGTCAACCGCGAAGGCAACAACAGTCATTCGTAGTTATTCCTAGAGTGCAAATGATATAGGAATTAACTGTCTTTCATAAAGACACCAACAGGATATAAGATCTGGAAGGTGGACGATCGGCTCACATCTTTACTCCTTAACACGTTGTTTCACATTGTTTCAAGTTGTTGACACATTTAGCTAACCGCGGAAGCGAACACGTTCGTTATGCTCTCTATTAAGTGTGCCACAAATCTGTGTGACCGGATAATTTTCGGTATGAACAGAGAAGCAGAGTTCGTTTAACGCCTGACAGTTATGCGCACTGGTCCCTTTGAAGCTAGCATATCCAGTTTCATTTCCATTGTCAGTCGGACTCAAGCTAGAACTCTTCAACGGCACCCACCCTGTCCTGCATGTGAGGAACTAGAACTGCTCCAATGAAGTGCAAGGTTATCTACATCTCCGTCCATTTCCACACCCACTCCCAGAGATGTTTCTGTATAAGGAGAAATAAGAGGTGAGACACCGTAAATTCGGGTCCAATACCAGCATCTGTGGAATATTCTAGACTGGACTTACTTGGTATACCAAAGATAGAAGTTGAAAGCCCGTTATTTAAAGTCGTCCGAGGAAAATCGAGTTCAGTGAAAGCTAATCAACAGTGGTGAACAATTAGTTGCCCAGTGAACGCGAAACGAAGAATAATTCTTGACTTAGAAGTCTTTTGAATGAAAAATGTTCGATTTTCTCTGATTTGGATTGTTAGGGGACAGAGGGTTTGTAGCGACCCAGTCACCCGCACACTTGACTGTTCAGCCCACAGTCGCTGGATCACGAGACTTCTCCTTTTCATGCCCACAACCACGTCACATTAAGGTGACTCATCAGACGTCGATTGTCTGCACCGTCTAGTGAGCGTACCGACCACTCACGTACTGACCCGCCCACGGACCTACATATATGGAAACCGACCGCAGTCAGCACACACACGCGCACGCAGGGAGCAAGGAGTCGGCCAAACACTCTAAGTCCACGGACAACTATGGAATATGTGTAGCAGCCAAAGTGCGGAGAAAACACGTTCCCGCCATCCGGACTTTTACCAAGGGACTCTCACATACGATAAGTTCCCTTTTTGACTTGCTCCCATTTCGCATTGTATTTATTTTCATACGTGTCGCAACCCACCACGGTCAACCAGGCAAAAAACTTCTATTAGTGCACATATACCTTCTGATTTGTATTATGGCTATCACCACCTGTGCAGTAATAGGTTCGTCTCATTGCTTGTTTTCTCTATGCTTTCGAGGTGCTACGACTGACGAAGCTCTTCCGTCAGCACTACCACAGTAAGCCCAAAGACACTTTGATCCGATAGAGGTTTGAACTGCTTCAGTGTCGGACCTCGAATATCTGAGGTGGAACCTCACTCCATGGCTGGATCAGTTTTCTAGTACCTGTAGATATGCGGCAGTCCATCTGTTCACTGGACTTCAAATTTTCAACTGTGGCATCTTGTTTGTGCGACATGTGCCTACGGAAACAAATGCAATATTTTCCGACATTTCTTTTGCCCCACAGCGTCTATATTCAAGCGCATGAAGCCGGCCACCACTCGAGAACTATTTATCTTTGGTTGCTCAAGTTGGAGTTTCCCGCCTTTGGTGAAGGAAAAACTAGCGGGATTGCCGTACTCTATCGCTGAGCAAACGAATGTGGAATGTAACAAGCGGATCAACCAATGACCGTAGTCTAGAAAGTCCTTCCGAGGACTGTCTCAGTCACTTTTGCTCTGGAAAATGCACTAGTGATTGCATTAGGTTATCCAGCGTCAGCATTACTAGATTTCGTACTCTTCGCACCATTTAAACGATCCTCCCCCCAATGTGGTATTCCTCAGTTCTGCGCAGACAACTCACCATCATAATTTTGGGTTTTTCAACGATACTTGGTAAGTTGCTGCGATCGCCTTGTAGATCCAGGGTGTCCACTGAGTTAGCTTTACATCCTTAGTGAATATCGGGCACTTCGATAAAACCTCTACGCACATGCTAACCAGTTTGGGCGTAATATTAGCTTGTTCAGTTCTGAGAGAGCATCGCTGAGTTACACTTTTTACCTTCATTGTTGAAAAAGTGAATGCTTCTATCCACTTGTGCAGCGATCTACGTATTCTGTCTTGCTGAAAAACAAACAGCTTTTAATGCACGACCTCACACTAATGAACCCATGATGAGAGGGATTAGGTGGTGGGCATGTGTGGATGCCTATCCAGTTCTGCTTTGAATGTTATTTCGAAAGTCTTACTGACTTTTGGATGATAAGTATGTGGTCGCTGGAATCCCCAAAATTATGATTTTTTGGAATGTTACAGCCATTCCACGCCACGAATCATGTTGACCAAGTATCCGGAACAGGAATTACTTGTTGAATAAAAGCTTGTTTGGGATCCTACTGTCCAATCTCTTTGAGCGTAGGAATGTTGGAGCAATTTAGCATGTATTGATCACGCAGGGGGGGGGGGGTTGGAAAAGTAAAACGCGTTTGTTTTTCAGCGTTTCCGAGAGTGACCGCTGTTGCATGAGGGTTATCTTACTGTAATTTGATAAAAACGGCCTTGGCGTCAAACACATTGGGTCCATTGGATAGCACCACGAAATGTAAGTGGTAAGGGAAGGATACCTAATGTAGAAACTACTGACCGAGTGAACAACAGGAACAACGGAAAAAGCTGCCGAACATGGAGTAGTTCGGGTTCTGCACACATCTAACTGCAAAATCGTTAGGCATAGCTGAGTATGAGCGACTTTATGGACAGGGATGTTTTCCGTAGGCAAGGTGATGCGACGATAAGTAGGGAATCGTTGTAACATTTGTAAGGGTAATAATAACAATAATAATCGTTCAGCTGTAGCACCCTTTCGGTGCTAAACTGCTATGCCACCCGAAGGAAGCACGAGGGCTGGGATACTGCCAGATCGCCCAGGTCTAGACAGAAGTCGAGATGCACAGGTCGGGTTAGAAACACAGACCTTTTGGTCAGTAAATTCGCGCTCAAACCATTTGGACCATGTCAGCCAGACGGTGTATGCCTTGAACAAGTATGCGTGGGTGATTGCTTGAGCCCTACTAACAGTTCAACAGTAAACAGAACAAGGATGAATCTATTGTTGCGTCCATACAAAACACAAGTTACCTTTCTGACTTTTACTGATCGGTCACAAACGCTTCTTGCGATGTCACTGGATACGTAACTGCCAGTGAAAGCGTGAAGCTCGCTAGTTATTGAAGACTGAGAAACAGCGATTTTGAGTGAATCAGATCAGCAACCGTAATTTCAATAATTGGTGTTTTCAAACCCAGAGTCCATTCTGTTCAGCTTTTGTAATTTCCCTAGCTGAAAAACACTGATTAAGGGCTACTTGCTCTTACGCAAACGAATTTAAAATAAAGCTCATACTTCGAAAGAGCTGAGAACAATGGACTGAAAAAGTACCCGTTCGTAGAGACAAACAATGAACATCACCTATAATATATGAGTTTTTCATTCACAATTGACGATTAAGCCTTTATGATGCGTAAAGGCGAGCAGCACAAACAATAGAACTAGATCTCCGTGAATGGCCTTCAACAGACCGAAATGGAAGATTGTTGCCCCAAGAAATCTTCAGGTGGCTTATATAGGTGAAGTTGTTTGGTTGAAGAGTTTCGCGTTTTGACATAAAAAGACAAGGGATCACAGCATGTACGAGATGAAAAGTTGGGGGTTGTCAGGAGAAACATAACTATGCCTCTTCAAAAATACATGAAATTACAATAAATAAGTTCAGATCCATCCGTAGAAACGTAGAAACCATATCCAGGACTCGCGTGTGTGCTTTAGCGGGTGAACCGGTCTACTTCGAATGGGACTAACATCAACGGTGATGTGTGTGTAGAGAATCGGACGAAGAAGCCTGTCCACATCTATCCGCCGTACACTGCTGAGGTTGGTGAGTTGTACTGTGTTCCAGATCGCCTCTCTAACTGCTGCAACAGAAGTGTTTAAGGAGAGGGCCAACTGGGTGAGTGCACAAGTATTGAGTAACGGAGGAAGTGGAAGTAAAAGAGTTTGTTGGGTTGGGACGTGTTCCCTAATCACGTGATAAGAGTGGTCGTTGAGCGCGCTCAGTCCATCGTTCAGATATCCGCGGAAACTCAAAAATAAGTCGTAGTGTCCTGCTCCGCGATGAGCTTTAACGTGGGACACAGCATGATAGCGCCCGATATGTTCCGGAGGCCGGGACAGCTTTATATCATTCACCATGCAGCGTGCAGCCAATTCATCATCCTCATTCCCCCAGCCCCAATAGCGGTTGGGAAATCCATTTATCTAAAAACAAAAGGGAGAATTGTTGTTCTAATTACACAAGCCAAAACTAAGAAGAACAGACAAGCCTGATGTCAGGAAATGTATTGTAACATGTATGAGAGAATATGTGCGACACGATGCCGAAAAGCAGGGTGGGGTACACATAATTTAATTGAAACCCCTATTGTGAAAGAATAAAATATAACAGTGGGCACCTTGTATCATGTCATTGTGAACATTTTGAGATACCTGAACCCCCAAACACCCGCGCAGTCTGGAAATCGATACCACTGACATTAATTAGTGGCCGTATCTTGCAATACCTCCGGTCAGGCACAGAAAGAATCGTTTGGACCCCACCTTCGAATAGGGATGTAATCGCCTTCATATTCTCCCGTCAGGTCAAAGACTGACCACCTCTCTGGTTGCCCCACTCGGAAGTAAAAAAGAAAACAGCATTCTTTTCGTCGGTATATGCAACTGACGACCGATCCAGTGCAGCTCCCGGTGCTGGTTACATTTTTGACCGAAGTCCCTACCATGCAACTAGATGCTCGCTTTATAGTTGACTTGTTGCGGGTTCGCTTGTTCCAGCCAAGTTAAGTCACAGGTATGAGAGAACAGTTAGTAGAGACCTCAGTTCCATGGCTCTTCGAGGCTACGTCTCAAACATACGACAAACCAGACTGTACTATAGCCTGTATGCATGTCATTTGAAGTTCAAAGATACGCCGCCTCATTATAGGTGTTCTTCAATCCGAGTCCTATAGACTCATGCGTTGATCCGGTTTGTCATATTATGGTCACAGTTAACGAACTTTCGGGATAAGAATGGCTCCACAATCGCGAGGGCATTTTATTGTGCTGCAAGTGGTGTTCAGTGACCACATACCCGAGATCATTGCTTTACATTTGTGGATGCGAAGCGCATGCCAAAGGGCGGGATACGATTTTCGTTAGAGTTCATCCCAACCACGTGCCTTCTCCTCTTCGAACGCAAGATAATGACGTCAGCATATCCCAGGTTGGTAAGGTTTTCACCAGCAACTAATCAAACAGAGCTTTGAAGACCTTACGCATTCCGTTCATTTCCGATTATAAAGTTGAGCAAAAATGAAGAAACTCTCCTCACGTTCTTACACGTCCAAAATTAAGGAAATACAAAGGACTTCCAGGGCAATTCCTGATGAGCATGTGTGATACGAACGGGTCAACACAGCCGAATGTACCTGGGAAATACAGATGTATTAATATTGTGGGTAGCTTATAATTATGTTGTTTTGATACCTTGAGGTCTGTGAAGATGTGGTTGACACAGCTTTTACGACACAAATCCTGCGTGTTGCCCTTAAATCAGTGTTTCACAGGCCTTCACAAATGAGCCTTTTCATAACGTTCGATTGTAATACCCTTTCTCTGCCTGGCTGCCATGCCGCCCGAAGGAAGGACGAGGGCTGGGATACTGCCAGGTCGGCCACCTCTAGACAGAAGTCAAGATGCAGAGGTCAGGTTCGAACCACGGACCATCTGGTCAGTTAGTTCGCGTTCTAACTCCTGAGGCATTTCGCCCCCCGTCATAACGGAAGTCGAGCTGATTCCCGTGATTTCTACATTCAACACAGTCTCATTTTTGAAGGACATACCGTGTTACAAGTCATGATTTTCTCCTTAGACTGGCCCTTCGGAAGAGTAGTTGGGCCGAAGCGTTCGAAACCGCAAATATTCTCCGTTTATCGTCAACTGTCCGTCAGAGATGAGCGCTGACGGAAAAAAACCTCTGGCAATTAGTCGAAATATTTGTAGTTCGGGTGAGTTCATTGGCCGTCACGAAGAGACTGGACCTTACCGTGGTGTGGCGGTTTGTGTACCTCGGAGACCCATTTAGCTATACTGGAGTGTCCCGCGACACTCACAGAGTCTCTCATACCAGGTTGGTCAATGGTTAGAGGTCTGACGAACACAGTCTCCTGGCCCTCCAGGTTGGGGGTTGGGACATGTATGGCGACTTGTTCCGTAGAATAGGTAATGCATTTGCATTTCCCCGTCAAACACCGCTGCCTTGCGGTTAGGCTTTTGAGCCAAAGGCTTTGGTTGAGGACCCTAATGGTCCTCCTGTCTAGGTGTGGGCGC